CCTTGACCAGAATCGAACCCTCAACCCTTCAGTCTGTGGGCCAACACTCTAACCATTGAACCAAACTGAGTAGGGCCACAATTGAGTTTTGAAGGATAACATTAAATTAAATAGGGTACCTGATTCATAATAGGCATTTAATATGTATTATGATTGCCCTAACTGGTTTGGCTCAGTGGATAGAGCATCAGCCTGTGGACTGAGGGGTCCCAGGTCCGATTTCGGTCAAGGGCATGTACCTTGGTTGCGGGCACATCCCCAGTAGGAAGTGTGCAGAAGGCAGCTGATCGATGTTTCTCTCTTATCGATGTTTCAAACTATCTCTCTCCCTTCCTCTTTGTAAAAAATCAATAAAATATATTTAAAAAATAACAATAATATGTATTATGATTTACTAGTATAGTTCATTGCTCAAACTTGTCCTCATTGGTTGAGTAAACCTTCCAACATGCCAAGGCGATATTCACACACACACACACACACACACACATCACATTTCAAATTCTGTTCCCTGAGGCTACGTAAATCCTATTGTAAGCCTTTTTAGTTTCCTTCTTACCTCTCACCATTGCCAGCCACTTTCTTGGGCTTCTAATGTTTAGGAGGTTGCCCCTGGCTGCCACCGTTTTGTGTTTTTGTTTTTTAAATTTTTATTTATTGATTTTTTTTTAATGTACTGATTTGAGAGAGAGAGAGAGAGAGATTAATTTGTTGTTCCACTTATTTATGTATTCATTGGTTGCTTCTTGTATGTGTCCTGACTGGAAGTTGAATCCAAACCTTGGTGCATCGGGATGACACTCTAACCAACTGAGCTGTGGGCTCAGGGCCTGGCTGCCATCTTCGAAGCCTCTCTGTGTCCTCCTTGAGTCCAGCTGGCAAGGCACTGACTGCTGCTGCTGGTGGGTCCCACCAGGTAGGACTTTTTCATTTCAGTCTACAAATCCCTGGGTTAGGAATGGGGCAGGGGCTCCGGTGCATTCACCCAGGAAAAGCTGCACCGCCTGATTAAAATGTTGTGACCTTGCTTTGGGTTAAAATTATCTCACTTGGTAGGTGAATGCCTTGGATTAATTAAAATGCACAAATAAATCAATGAATACTTATTCAATGCATTCTTCCTCAACAGAACCTCTCAAATGTGAGATTTCCAGAGAAAAATCCTGGCAATAAAAGGGACCACTGCCATGACATGATCAGGGACCCCTAGACAGGATAGGATCAACAAGAGGGGGACAACGTTTAGCCAATTCATATTCAGGCCTTGGGGTTTGGGTTAAAACCAAGATGTGGTGACTGACCTTTGTGCTCTGAGTAAATGTCAGGAGGTCACACTCACAGAACCTGTCTGCCATCCTAGGCCAAGACTAATGTCTGAGGTGAGGGGTGGGAGCTGAATTACAGAGAAACCTTCATGGTTGAGCCTTTGCCTTAATAGACATGATTATTATAATAGACTAGAAATTCGTGCACAGTGGGGTGGCGGGGAGGAGAGGGTGTCCCTCAGCCCGGCCTGTACCCTCTCGCAATCCGGGACCGCTGGCTCCTAACCGCTTGCCTGCCTACCTGCCTGATGGCCCCAACCGCCTTCTCGCAATCCGGGACTGCTGGCTCCTAACCGCTCCCTCATCGCCCCTAACCACTCTACTCTGCCTGCCTGCCTCATCACCCCTAACCACTCTACTCTGCCTGCCTGCCTCATCGCCCCTAACTGACTCTGCCTCAACAATATTAAGCTCCTGCCCAGCCTATGTGGTTCAGTAGTTGAGCATGGACTTATGAACCAGGAGGTCAAGGTTCGATTGCCAGTCAAGGCATGTGCCAGGGTTGTGGGCTTGGTAGAGGGTATGCAGGAGGCAGCCCACTGATGATTCTCCCTCATCATTGATGTTTCTATCTCTCTTGCTTCCTCTTGAAAATCAATAACATTTTATTTTAAAAATACATATTAGGCTCCCAACATATGCTCAGTTCTTTTTGGAAGCAAAAGCCAACACAGTCCCTGTCTCGTGGAGTTTGCAATCTAGAGGGGGAGACTACTATTACTGAGATAATACACAGACAGATGTATCAGGATGCTTTTGGCAACAGGGCAGATTAAGCTATTTCAGACAACCCTCTCTTGCTACCATATATAAATCCTGCATAACATACAAGAAAAACACCTGAAAATATACAGCTGAGTTCAAAAGAAAGAAAGGGACATTCTCACATTCCAGAGATAGTATAAGAACTCAAAGCCAGAGTAAGCTGATCAGATGGATGATTACCAGGGTTTTGACTAGATAAAGACTCTAAAGCCTGGATCCTAAGAGTTCTAGGGCCCTTGAAAAAATAGGAGGCAGCCCCAAGCTGTTTGAGGCAGGAGAGCTGGAATTTGTTCCTTTAAATTTATCCTTTTAAGGCTTGGAGCCTTAAAGGGAACTCTAATCAGGGAAAAAGGCTACAAAAACTCTACCACCAAGGCTGCAGAAGGAGACACAAAATGCTCTCACTGTCCTGGGCTTGGGAGGGAAGTTGCTGTGAAAGATGGAAGGTCTAGGCCTGCCCCACAGGGAGGAGAGAGGTACATGGCTCTACCACATCCCCCCTCCCTCGGCGAGACCCTGACCTCAGGACTCTTGTGCCAAAAAGTTAATATAAAAGTTAGTCCAGCCCTTAGGGCCCTGACAGAAGCAAACCCAGAGTACTCTGTAAGAATATTTTTACAACTCACGGCAAAAATAAACCCCAGTGAAGATGCGTTCCCAATCAAAAGATACAAACTGCACAGGGAAACACACTACCATAAGAGATAATCAGTAAATACAAAACAAGACCAAAAGACACAGGAGAATTTACCCCCTAAGAAGAGGAAATAATAGAAAAATCCGAAAACAGAAGAGAAACATTTTAAGTGATTATGAAGAATTTTTAAAAGAAAGAAAATACTAATAAAGAATGGGATAATATGAAAAATAGATGGAAAACAAGCCAAATAGAAGTTCTATAAATGAAAAATACAGTTTATATGCTTTATTAAAATTGATAAGTTGAACAGCAGAATAAGACACAGCTAAAGAGACATTTAGCAAAGTGGGTGATACCTCTAGCACAAAATCACTTTGCTAGTAGCACGGTGAGAAAAAGGAGAGAAGAGACATGGAAGGAACCAGGGCTAAGAGAAGAGGAAATGATGGCAAGATCTAGCACCCTTAGCTGGCAGATCCAGGAGAATGGAGAGAGAATGGGGGAGGAGCAGTATTTGAAGCGTTAAAGCTGGGAATGAATCAAGATGGAAGAAAAACCTAAATCTTCAGATTGAATAAGCACCCAGAGTCCTGAGAAGAATAAATAACACACATTCACACCTTAGGCACTGGAGAACAGCAAAGCTAAGCAGACAATATTAGGAAGTGTCACAGTTCTATGCTGGGGGGAATAAACACATTCCTAGAACTGCATGCAAGTAGGAGGGGAAGAGGGAAGAGGTGCTGATGCTGATCTTCCCTAGAGGTCAGGGAAAGTGTGGTGGTTAATTTTACGTCAACTTGGCTAGCCAGTGGCCGGCAAACTGCGCCTCGCGAGCCACATGCGGCTCTTTGGCCCCTTGAGTGTGGTTCTTCCTAAGCCTTAGGAGTACCCTAATTAAATCAATGACAATGTACCTACCTATATAGTACCCTAATTAAATCAATGACAATGTACGTACCTATATAGTTTAAGTTTAAAAAATTTGGCTCTCAAAAGAAATTTCAGTCGTTGTACTGTTGCTATTTGGCTCTGTTGACTAATGAGTTTGCCGACCACTGGGCTAGGTTATGGCACCCAATTGTTTGGCCAGACACTAGTCTAGGTATTCTTAGATGTGACTAACATTTACAATCACTAGATTTGAAGCAAAGAAGATGACCCTTCATAAAGTGGGTGGGCCTCTTCCAACCGGTTGGAGGCCTTAAGAACAAAGGCTGAGGTTTCAGAAGAAGGAATTCTGTCTTAAGACTGCAAGTTAGAAACCTTGCCTGAGTTTCCAACGTGCTGCCCTGTGGATTTCGGAATCAAGACTGCGACATGAAATCTCACCTGAATTTCCAGTCCACCAGCCTGCCCTATGAATTTTGAACTTGCCCATCCCCACAATCAAGTGAGCCAATTCCTTAAAAATCTCTCTCTCGGCCCAGCTGGCCACTGTGGCTCAGTAGTCGAGGGTTGACCAGGAGGTCATGGCTCGATTTCCTGTCCCGGCACATGCCCGGGTTGTAGGCTTAATCCCAAGTGTGGGACATGCAGGAGGAAGCCAATCAATGATTCTCTCTCAACATTGATGTTTCTATCTCTGTCTCCCTTTCACTTCCTCTCTGACATCAATAAAAAAATATTTTAAAAACATTAAAAAAATTAAAAATATATTATATAGATATAGGTAGATAGATATAGATATGGATACAGTTTCTCTAGAAAACCCTGACTAACCCTGCTCTTCTCCAGAGACCCTCATCCACCTCCAGAACCCTGCCCAGCTCCTCAAGCTGAAGTTATTTGTTTGGCCAGTGCCCTCAAGTGCCAGTGGGTATGTGGAGTATCACCCCACACATGAACTTCCTGTACCCAAGACACCAGCTGCTTCCTGGCCAAGGGGTTTGGCATGGGAATGGGCAGAAGAACCACTTAGCTAAGACCACGGGGGCTGACCTATACAGGATAA